GCCTGGAGCCAAACCCAGTGCTCATGACTCCAGATGCAGTGCTCTGCCCAACGAGCCTTGTTCGGGAAGCCCCGGGAGCCTGAGTGAACTGGACTGGGGAGACTGGGGGCGGGGGGCAGCATGGCACAGCAGGCAAGAGCCAGTCTCCGGAGCCTCCTGTCGGGTGCACATCCCAGCTCTGCCACTTACTAGCTGTGTGACCTTGGGCAACTCACTTCACCTCTCTGTGCCTCTGTTTACTCATCCAGGAAATGAGAGTAACCAGAGCACCCACCTCATACTATTATGTGGACGAAAGGAAGTAACACTTGGCAGGCCAGGTGTGATGGCTCATGCCTGTAATCCCAGCACTTTGGGAGGCCAAGGCAAGCAAATCTCGTGAGCCCAGGAGTTTGAGACCATCCTGGGTAACATAGTGAAACCCTGCCTCTACAAAAAATACAAAAATTAGCTGGGTGTGGTGGCGTGCACCTGTGGTCCCAGCTACTCAGGAGGCCGAGGCGGGAGGATGGCCTGAGCCCAGGGGGTGGAGGCTGCAGTGAGCTATGCTCACAACACTGCACTCCAGCCTGGGTGACAGAGCAAGACTCCGTCTCAAAAACAAACAAACAAAAATGTGTTGAGCAGTTAGAGGAATGCCTTCCACCATCCAAATCTTTGTCCATCAGATGCTCCCAACATGAAACCCATCTAATATGACACTAAATACTCCTGGTTGGGGACATCACAGGGGTCCTCATCCTTGTGACACTGTAGGGGCATAATTTAGGGGACTGGGCAGAACAGCTGCGGATCTCTGTTCCAAAGAAAGGAAGACAAGAGAGGTATAGGGAAGGCTAGCTGGGGACTTGACTCTGAGTGACAAGAGGGCGGTCAGAGGTGCCATGCCCTGCATCTGACTAACAATGACTCGAACGCGGGGTGCAGAATGAACTGGGGAGTGGGGGTGATGGCAGAGGCGGAGAGATGGCCACAGAAGTCCATGGGAGACGTGGCTGGCTCTGGCTGACTCAGACCAGGGTGGCTGCAACACAGAGGTGACTGAATCCTCACACCTTGGGTGGGTACTAGCTGCCCTGACCCCCACCTATGCAGTAGCCCAGGGAGGCTCCTGCCTGAAACCACGTGCTAGTAAGAGGCAGAGCCGAGCCTTGAACTTCCACCAGTTCTGCAGGGAAGGGAGTGTTTTTGAGTCAGGAGGAAATATGCTCCTTCCTTCCCCGATGTCTCTGGGACTGCACGTGGAGCCACCGAGGTGTGGGGCGTGTCGGCTCCCAGCCTGGGTCCTGCATGACTGGCTTCACATCCACCCCGTCGTCACCCAGCCCTGGAACTGGTCTCTCTCTTCTCTCTCCAATCCCACCTCCCTCCTGCCAGCCTGGCAAGTCCCTCAAGACCCCTCCACCTCCCCCCAATCTTCCCAAGCCACCCCTTTCCTGCAGCTCAAAAGCATACAGGGTGATGTCCAATGCGTGTGGATGTCACCTGTGCTCCCAGCTGGCACGAGTTCCCGCCTGCCCCACCATCGCCCCTGCCCCACACCTCCATTCTCCCCTCCCCCAGGCCTCTCTGCAGCCACCCCCACCCCACCCACCGGGACGATGCCTGCGTCTGCTCCCCACGCCACCCCTCCCCAGCATCTCAACCAGAAGACACATCCAATTTGTGTGAAGGGCTTGGGGTGACTCTGTGTCGAGGCCACGCTTCCCTTTCTGTTTGTGGAAGGACGCGGGTGCTCTTCTTGGAGCAAGGAGAAAAGGTTTCTTTGTGCTGGGTCTGGTGAAAGTGTGTCTGTTTAGGGCAGGCTGCAGTTTTCTTTGTGAACGCTGTAGATTTTTAATGTGGGAAAAAGGGCTTATTACATTTCCCTGTGGCTGCCCGAGTGGGGAGAGGGTTTTCTGAGCACAGAAAGGAATGACCAAACAGGCGAACAGGCGTTGGACAGGAAGGGACATTTAGCAGCTCCTTCTCACGGAGCGGTGAGGATCTCTTGGTTGGTGTTTGCATTTGGGTGCACGTGAAACATGCAGAAGGAAAGAAAGCTTTGCTGTAGTTTCATGGAAGGGAGAGAAGGAAGTTTAGCTTTGATGTATGGGGGTGGGGGAGGCAGGATTTTGTTCAGGGGGCTATTGGGGTGTTTTTTCCTCTTCCAGTAAAAATATAAAATGGTCACAGAACCCTGAAGAAAGGTTGTCATGGCAACAAAAGTTTGAGGCCGGGTACTTGCTATCACCCTTTCAGGACCACGGCGGAGGAGAATGCAGGATTTTGGCACTGTAGGATCAGCTGCAGAAGCCACCCCAGCTGGCTCTGATTCCCAAATTTCTCACCAGCACTGACAAGCTGATAACTATTTTCCAAGCTCTCAGAGAGGAAAATTGTGATTTTGGGGGAGGGATGATCTCCAGCCCACAGTGGCCAAGAGGAAACCGTGGGTTTCTTTTATTTACCCAACACATTAACCATCCTCATTTCTAACTAACAGAGTATTGACAGTGAGGGTCTTAACTGAGCCCCCCCCAAAATGCCACCTTCCCTGACCCCTCAAATGCACTATTCTCTTCCCTGATCCCTTTACTCTGATTACTTTCTGTCCCTGAGAAGACAATTCGAGCTCCCTTGCCAGAATCCCCTTTGAGACTCAAGTTCCTCATCTGAAAAAGCAAGCACCTTAGGAGCGTCTGCCTCCAAGGTAGCGGCCAGGATTCCACAAGATTCAGAAGGTGAGAAGTTTCAACAGGACCTGGTGCACGTTAAAGGCTCAAGAAATGTTAGCTAACATGGCTTTTTAAATATTTTTCAATTAATAATTTTTAACAAACCATAAATATCCCAAGTCAAGGCGTGGATAAACTATAGGGAAATAACTGTAGCAAGTCCTGGGACCGTGACCTTCAGGGAGCAGCCAAGAGAGACTTCAAGCAATTAAGAGGCTCAGCTGACCAGCGTGGACCAGGACACTCCACAGAGGAAGAGACAGGACTATTCCGGTGCTGGAGATGTGCTGTTGTCTTTTCAGGGGTATGCACAGAGGAAGGAAGAGAGGCAGAGGTGGTATGTGCCCAGGACTGGGTCTCCTGAACCTTGGAAACACCTTGAACTTGGAGAAAGATGTACAGTAGCAAGATGTCTACTTCAAAGGACACATGGTCCTGACAACAAGGTGTTATGAGGGGTTAGGGTTGGGCTGTGCGGAAGGCAGGGAGTTTTTGCCAAGATGCCTTTTGAAGTTAATAATTTTAATTGCATCCCACAGTAAACATTCGCATCTTGAGTGTAAACCAGAAGTGAGTCTGACGGGGTGAAACCAATCAGGGCCAGGTTTCTATTCAAACACCGTGCATCTCTGACAAACGGCCAGCCCAGCTCAAGTCACAGAAAGTTTGGTCAGGTACCCCCAGAAGTAAGACAGAGGAGGCAGCACCCCAGGAAAACTCCAGTTCATCGTCCCAAGGCGTCATCCTATATAACCCTGCAAATGTTTATTGAAGACCTACTATGCGCTAGACATTACTCAGAGGCGGCAGTGAACAAGACCAACCGGGCTGGCCCTCACAGAGTGACATCCTATGGGAAGAGGGCTCTATAAGCTTGTGACCAAAAACAGGCCCCAGAAAATGCCAGGCAGTGCCAGGTGTGGCAGGGAGATAAAGGCACTGGTGAGATCCAAAGACAGAGGCCCTCTTTCCAGCCGGGAGCTCACAAGGTTGTTTCTGCCCAGTGTCCTGACTCCAAAGGCAGGTGGGAGAGTCCCAGTGAAACTGACCAGGAGCCCCTAAAGGAGGTGGGGCGGGAATGGCATTCCAGGCAGAGGCAGCAGCCTGTGCAAAGCCTGGAGCTCCTCACTGGGAGGCTTCACAGCTTCCTCCCTCTGCCCCCTAACCCACTTAGGCTACTGGCTTATTTAAGGCAAACTAAGATTGGACGTCTGCTCTCCCCTACCCTTGAGCACACACATATATGGTGTCCACACTGAAGAGCTAGGCAGGCAAGGAGGAGTTTTAACCTTGGAGAAAGAGGTCAGTTCACTCAGGAGGGTGCCCACTCCTGGACACGCGCTCCGAGACACCCCAGCTCTACCTGCGGTGGTGGCACAATCGGCTGTCGGGCAGCTGTCCCCTGAGCCGTGCCACAGTGTGGCTGTCTGCCTCCAAAACACGCACTCCAGCCCCGGCTGCCTCTGGAGGGTAGAGGAGGGGTTCAGGCAAAGGGGACAGTTCGATCTGCCTTCTGAAAAGTCAGCCCCTCATCGAACCTGATCGGAGGCTTGTACTAAACTAAGCCCTCCTGGACTCCCCGACCCAGAGTTCTCCCAGCTGTCCCCAGTTCCCCAGCCTGCCTCTCCCGGGAGGGGGCCAGAACACAGAGGGCTCCCTGGCATTTGGCAATGGGGGTGCCTCTGGGCGGGTGCGGCTCCCCGGGAGCCCGCGGGACTCCTCCACTCCCCACTCCAGTCTTGGAGGTTGGGCGCGGGTTGGCGGTGGGGGTGAAAAGATGAATGATCCCCCGCTCGGCTCCCGGGTCTGTGGATCTGCGGCGGGAGGGGCGGGTGGTAGCAGGAGTCCCCGCATCACCCCTACCCCCAGGGGCGCCCCAGGGTGGGTGGGGGCATCTAGTGCCCGGCGAAAGAAAGAGGAGGAGGGGGCGATCGTGGAGATGAGTTCAGGCGCGGAAAGCAGCGCGCGCCCCTCCGACCGGCAGCTGGGGTGGGCGCCTTCCCGGGCGCGGCAGCGTCCCCAAAGACGCCGGGCGTCCGCAGGGGCCAGGAGCTCTGCGCCGCACCTCTCCACGCCGGGGCGTCCCGCGCATCCCCCGCGCTGGCCCCCGGTCCCGGAACCGCGCGCGCCCCCCGCCCTGGAACGTCGCCCCAGCCCGGCGCAGCGCGGGGAGCTGGGCCGAGGCGGCGGGAGGAGGGCGAGCGGGTCCGGGGCTCGGGCCTCGGTGGCTGCGCCGCCCCGGGGGAGCCGGAGCCGAGCTCGCCGCCGCCCGCACGCACTCACCGAGCCCGCCGAGCTCCTCCTCGCACGAGTACCAGATGCCGGTGTGGAAATTCCTGAAGAGGAAGCGGTCGTCGCCGGTCTCCCAGCTGTAGAGCGCGCCGCCAGGGGGGCCGTTCCCCGCGGCGGTGGCGGCGGCGGCGGCGGGGGCGGCGGTGCCGTTGGCCGTGGCGTTGGCGCCCGAGTTGGGGCAGTTGGTGCGCCCGCCCTGGCCGCAGCCAGGCTTGGGGACCCGCTGCGTGCCCTGGCACCAGTGCGTGGTGAGGAAGGCGGTGGTGGCGAACAGCAGCGCCAGCAGGTTCAGGGCCACGGCCAGGAGCGCTCGGCCGCGGCGGCTCGTCTTCATGCCGCCCGCGCCGCCGGGACGGGACCGCACCGCCGGGGAAGCTCCGCGCGCGAAGTTGGCAGCCGGCGCCCCGCGTCAGCGGCCGCTGCCCGCCGCGCCCCGGGGCTCAGGCGCCTGCGATCGGCGGCGACGGACGCGGCGCGGGCCCATGCCCCCCCCAACCCCGGGGTGGGGGAGCGGCGCGGGGGGCGCGCGGGGCGGGCGGTGGCGGCGGAGCGGCTCCGGCGCGCCCGGAGCCCGGAGCGCGAGTGTGCCTCGGCGAGGAGCCGCTGGCGCTTGGCAGCGGCCACGGCGCAGGGACGCGCGCCCCTCCGTGGGGAGACACCTGCAGGCGGCCGGCGACACTGTTCCGGCGCCCGCCCGCACGGGGAGAGGGGGCGCCCCACGCTGGGCGAGGGCGGGGTCCTGGGAGTGGAGGGACGCCTCCTAAAGAAACCCACGCCCGGGTGAGGGTCTGAGAAGCAGAGAGAATCCCAGGCAAGGCTCTCCTGAGAAAAGATTCCCACGGAGACGTGTAGCTACGAAATCCGCCGGGAGCGGGCATCTCATGAGACCCAGAGAGGCCCTGCCCTAGGAGACAAGGGCAGAGCCTGCTGGAGCTCCCCAAGAGGGACACGGACCCTGCCCCAAAAGGGGGTTCCCAAAAGGAGCCCCGCACCAGACCCTGATAAAGCAGTTTTCCAAAGGGTCTAAATAGCAAAGCCTGGAAGGCTTCCCACAGCCAGGGGGCTTCGAGACCCCCCAGACGAGACACCCATGCTGGTCATGGATGGCAGGACCTGTCAGGAGGCGACCCTCCTGGAGTGCGGGGTTATAGGGTTTGAAAAGTTTTTCTATCTCCTGGGCGTCACCTCCAGCATCTGGGAAGAGCTCCCCTCCAAGGATGAAACTGTCATCTGGCCTCCCAGCCGTGGCATGCAACCGAAGAGTGGCAAAGTGGTACCCCAGACAGCCCGCTGTGCCCACCTGAGGTTACAAACAGCAGAACCCTAGGAGGGCCCATGCTGGCCACAAAGTGTTGCAGCCACCAGGCAGTGGTGCCCTACAGGGGCTGCCAACCGTGCTCACCTGTACACAACAATGTGAGTAGAATCTTCAAGATGGAGTGGGGGCAGGGTGGTCAACATACTGACTTTGGGATCAAGCAAATCTAGGGCTTGACTAGCTGTGTGGCTTTGAACGAGTCACTTACCCTCTCTGTGCCTCAATTTCCGTAACTATAAAAAAGGGAGGACCTCCCCCCCTTCAAGGTAGATCACAGTGGGCTGCTGTAATGAGATCACGCCTGCAAAAAGCATTTGGCACACAGTAGACTCAATAAATGTTAATAATTCACTGTTACTCACATCTGAACCAAGATCAGTTGACCAAACTCAGGCAAACCTCTTCGGGCTCTCTTGTGCGACATGGGAACTCTGTGCACCCCTGTCCCCACCTCTGCTCTAAGATGACAGTGCTCCCTGAACTCCCTTTTCGCTGCACAATGCCTACTGCCCAGATGCTCAGGGTGTGCAACAATTAATTGCATGTTGATTGCAAGAGCTCATTTGAATTCTGCCCAAGCTGAGAACTGCGCCTACAACCCCCAGCTTGCCGAGCGGCAGGCCTTGCAGAATTCAAGGTTAACCGGTTATAAATTGCCTTACTCCTGTGGGTGAGCTGGTGCTCACTGTCCGCTGCTGCTACTCTGCCTGGGGGTAGGTGAGAGGAAAGCGTGGTGGGCAACGTCCCTGGTAAGAACAGGCAGGAAGGATGGCCAGAGGTCTCCAGATTTGCTTTTAGAGCCCTTTTCTGGCACTAGGCAAGAGATTCCCAACTATTTTGGAAGAGAAGACCTCCATGTAATCACGGTGGCATTGAGAGTATTGGTTGACAGAGAAAATACATCATTGCCAAAGAGCTATAAAGAATCCAGTAGCACTTTTATTTTTTTTTAATGTATTTGTTTATTTTTGAGATAGAGTCTCGCTCTGTTGCCCTGGCTGGAGTGCAGTGGTGTGTCTGACTCTGCTCACTGCAACCTCCACCTCCTAGGTTCAAGCGATTCTCATGCCTCAGCCCCTCGAGTTGCTGGAATTACAGGCGCTCGCCACCATGCCTAGCTACTTTTTGTATTCTTCTTAGGGACGGATTTTCACCATGTTGGTCAGGCTTGTCTCAAACTCCTGACCTTATGTGATCCACCTGCCTTGGCCTCCCAAAGTACTGGGATTACAGGCGTGAGCCACCAAACCCAGCCTCCAATCGCACTTTTAATGGACATGCAATATTCATCATAAATGTGCACCACTGAAAACCAGTTCCTCAATGTGTGCTCAACAGGATACTTCTTTGGACTCGAGGCTGTGGTTGGTGAGCAGGGCTCAGTGACCTACAGCTGGGAACCCTTGTCCTGCACATTCAAAGCCAGGAAAGCCCAGGTGAGATATGTCTCAAGAACCATGCCTTCTCAAGAAACGCCAGAGGACACACATGGCGGGATGTGGAATTTCCACCTAAGATGCTCCTCCACTCACTGAGCCCCCCACAGAATGCTCAGCGCTCAGGAGAAAACAGAATGTGAACAAAGTTCATAAGAAAGAACATCGCCCAGAACTTTGGGAGGCTGAGGCGGGCAGATCACCCGAGGTCAAGAGTTTAATACCAGCCTGGCCAACATGGTGAAACCCCATCTCTACTAAAAATACAAAAATTAGCTGGGTGTGGTGGCGCACACCTGTAATCCCAGCTACTCAGGAGGCCGAGGCAGGAGAATCACTTGAACCCAGGAGGTGGAGGTTTCAGTGAGCCGAGATCACTCCACTGCACTCCAGCCTGGGTGACAGAGCGAGAGAGACTTCGTCTCAAAAAGAAAAAAAGAAAGAACATTGCTGAGTGTGCAGGGGTGAAAGCCAGGGAGAACAATTCAGCAGGCAGGGATCCAGGTGGGGATGGCTTCGAGGAAGGCCTCACTGAGGAGGTGACACTGGAGCAGGGATTTGAAGGAGAAGTAGGAGCAAGCCATCCTCACCCAGGGGAATGAAATTTCAGGCAGAGCGATGGCCAGTGCAAAAGCCTCGAGGGTGGAGCCTGACCGGCTCGTTGGGGAATAACCGAGCAGTGTGGCTGGAGCTGAGTGAGCAAAGGGTAGGGGAGGAAAAAAGGGGCGGGAGGCGCTAGGAGAGGGGACAGATCACAAAGGAATGCAGAGGCCACACCAGGGGTCTTGGGTGTTCGCTCTGAGCAAGGAAGACGCCGGCCGGAGGAGGGTCTGGCAGAGGGGACCCATGTCTGGTTTTGTGTCTAACAGGACCACGTGGGCTACTATGCAAAGAAGGGTGTAGGCAGAGAGACCACACAGAGGCTGGCAAGGGGATTCCAGTGCATGAGGCCAGGGACTCAGACACGTGTGGGGACAGGGCCGGTGGAGGTTCTGGGTCAGCTTTAAAGGCAGCTCCAGGCTGGGCACAGAGGCTCACGCCTTTAATCTCCCAGCACTTTGGAAAGCCAAGGAGGGGGGATCACTTGAGTCCAGGAGTTCAAAACCGGCCTGGGCCACAGAGTGAGACCCTGTCTCTACAAAAAAATTAAAACTTAGCTGAATGTGGTGGCGCGTGCCTGTAGTCTCAGCTATTTGGGAGGCTGAGGCAGGAGGATCACTTGAGCTAGGAGATTCAAGGCTGCAGTGAGCTGTGATCGAACCACAGCACTCCAGCCTGGGCAACAGAGTGGGACCCTGTGTCTAAAAAAAACAAAGTGAAATAAAGGCAGATCCAGCAGGATTTGCTCATGGATGGAACACAGGGAAATATGGCTCTGATGTGTTTGGCAGGAGTTCCCACAGGGATGGAGTTGCTTTTGGCTGAGATGGAAGCAGACCTGTGGGGCAGAGGGAAAATCCAAAATTCTGGCTTTGTGTTGGGCCTTTCTCTCAAGCTGAAGATAAGGTAGTGGGGTGGAGGTCACACCCCTGAAGGGACCACTTCAGGTGTCTACACGGCCTTCTGAAGCAAATCCAAACTCATCAGCAAACCCCTTAAATCGCCGTGGGGATTTTTATCCCAAATAGTGATATTGTTGGAATTACCTTGGGCATGGAAGGAAGTGTTTACAGGGAAACGTAGCGGGATTTGTTTAGGAGGCTGGAAATGTGAGCCTAGGTCCCTGGCTCCCTCCCCTCTGGCTCACTGCCACTGGCCAAGGCCCCACAGCAGCCTCCTGTCCCCATGCTGTCCCTTGGTCACCCCAGCCCTGCACTTACCTCCAGAGAGACCAGCCCCACACACCTCTGCCTACCCCCACCCCAATGCTCCCACTGCCAGCTCAGTGCCTGAGTTCACCCTTCCAGGTCCCAGTGACCGGCTCCTGCCCACGTCTCCAGCCCCTTCGCCCCCTCCTGTCCTGCCACAGCTGCAGCAATCACTGTGTAGTGTCAGATCACCTGGTGCTCAAACCGAAGCCAGGCCTCCACACACATTCCTCCCTCTCCCAGAACATCCCTGCCCTCCTTCCTCTGTGTGCCTTTCAGGGCATGTGCAAGCCCCACGCCACCGCAGAATCCTCCCTGACCTCCATCCCACATGCTGACAGCCGGTCACCCCTCCTCTGATCTTCAATATCATGAATCACTCTGATCTGTGATGTCTGTTTCCATACCTGTCTCCCCCACGTGCCTGGGGACCCCTCCAGCTCACCCCACTTGACACGTGTAGACCAAATCTGCCCTTAAGACTATTTTGTTTGGCCTAGATGGAGTTGGCCTCTACAGCGTGTTCAATTTTTATCAGTCGCCAACATTCTAGAATCATGAGAGTTCACATAAGAATCTATGCTGGCTCCTGCCTATAATCCCAGGACTTTGGGAGGCTGAGGCAGGAGGATCACTTAAGGCCAGGAATTGGAGACCAGCCTGGGCAAAAAAGTAAGATCCTGTCTCTATAAAAAAATTTTAAATTAGCTAGGCGTGATGGTGTGCTCCTGGCTTGTGTTTTTATACTCAACAAAATTTATCAGAAAAACTGTTGCTATTAATAATGAAATTCCTACTTTTCAGGAAACATGAAGGGACATGTCCCGAGTGCATTTCCTGTTCAACATTTCCT